ATGTAGAAGTCGCACCTATCTGAGACTGGTCAATAACAATGTATGTACCATACATGTTAGAGACATGGTAAAAACCATACTCCTAAAACAAAAGGTGATCAAGACCTAGATCATGGAAGATAATTTTTCAATTATCCATAAGCTTAGATGAACTTAAAGTTCAAATGCCTTATCCAAATTAATCAAGAAAATTAACTAAAAGAAAGGGGATGAAGAAGATAGAATCCATGATAAATGACCAATGATGATTGAATTTTGAACCTAAGTCAAAGTTGATGAACACTTATTAAAGGATTGATAAAATCAAAGTCTCCTAACAACAAACTTCAAAGGTTTTGAACCAAAGTCCAATAATCAATCATACATGGACCTTCAAACATAGGTTTGGGCCACTAATGATCATTCAAAAGGATGTAATCAACCTCAAAAAGAAAATAAAAATGAAATCAATTAAAAAACAAATTTTAAAAATGGTTAATTAAATGGAATTAATTGATGAAATACACAAAGTATATCAAAACACTAAATTATAACTCTAAAAAATTACCAGAGGTCAAACAAGGGTCAACAAATATTGATAAATTTTTTTATAATTTTTGAAAGTCAGGAACTAATTTTAAAATTAATCAAAATAAACCAAAAATCAAGAAAAATAATATAATCAGAAATAGAAATCAAAATAGGTCACCAATAGTTGTCAAACTAGCATTGGATCCTTCCATAACTTTTTCAGAAATTAAAAAGTATTAAAACTATTTTTAAACCAATTAAAATAAAACAAATAATCCAAAAATTATAAAAAATAGAAAACATCAAAATAAAAATATGAAAAAATATTCACAAAGTCATAAATAATTCAAAATATTTTTATGTAATTTTTCATAATTTTTGGATAAAAAATAAAAAAGTCATAAATTTTTTAAGATAAAATGAATTTAAAACAAAAAATAGAAGAAGAAAAAATAAAATCAGAAAATATGAGAGGCGTTGGATCCCTCTTCGTTAATTAAGGTGGCAATCTAGATGGCTCAGAGACACAGATGCTTGGTAAATATCAGTCAATACGCGCACACCATAGCCAGAAAAGTCAAGCGAATCAAAATATTTCAAGTGGCACGTCTTCATTGGTTGGGGATGACCCGTTGGTCATCTTCAACCTCCAGCCACCTGCAACTATGGCAAGTGCAACATTCTTAAATATGTAAATTTGGACGCTCATAGTGGTATCATTGGATGTGTCTCATCAAGACAATCTCAACCATATCCTCGCGCCAAATTTATATAAACCACATCGTAGTCGTTTTGGAAATTACCAAAGATAAAAATGTAAAACGAGTTTTGAAATTGCAAGCTCAAATCACCATGAAAATTCAAACCAGAAGAAGCATAAGCTTCAGAGAAGAAGGGAATACATTCTAACAATTTATTTGAGACGATTTGATTGAGAAATCTACCTGAATGAAGTTCACTTCAAATGCCTCTAAAATTGAACTTTTGTAGCTTGATTTTATGCACGAATGGCTTAGATTTTGTTGTGAGAAGTTTGTATGAAGATCAAGAATGAAGAATCATAAGAGAGTTTGGAGAAACAAGGTTTGAAACAATAAAATTGATTTTCAAATTTCAAGCTTCAAAACTGACTTTGGCAGGGTGATTCTGGCTATCCAAGCTTGAGGAAATGAATGAGGAATGGTTTTCTATTTATAGGAGAAAGAATGATGAGATCATACGTGTAAGAAGGATCGAGAATGAGTGAATTCGTGTGAAGTTGTAAGCATGAGAAGTGTGACTTGTATTTGCTCAAAACTCAGCCAAAACTTGTTTTTCAAGGCTTACACCATCTTTACCAACTTTGTTAAACATGATTAAGTGGAAAACGCGCATCCGTTTGATCATTAGAAGTCACATTATCCAATTTGCAATCTGTATGTTTGAAAACTCGGTTTCAAAGGGTCATCTTCAAATCCATGGTGCAACTTGCTCAGAAGGCTTTATGGTCTCATTCTTGTTGCGTTGGAAAGACTGTCTCACAAAGTTTGCAGTGTGCCAAGAAAGTATTCATTTGGACATTTGAGCTAAAAGTTGTGTCCATTTGAAATCGTGAAAAATTAACTGACTTTTTGACACTTAGAAAAATTTCTGTGTAGAACTTCATAATGACCTATAATATTCTTCAAACTTACATGGCCTTCCACTCAAAATTAGCTCTTGATTATTGAAGATAAAATGAAGTAGACTCTTCAAATGGATTATAGAATTGAGATCACTCAAAATCATAAAAAATGAGAGAGTTATGTTTCTTAGAAGATGATGGAAATTTCATGAGAAATCCACAAATGACCTATAATGTTTCATTGAATTCTATAATTTTCCACGCATTTTTAGATCTTGATCTTTATATCAAATTTGTAGTATACATCCTCAAGTTTATTGTGAAAAAAAGAATGAGCTCAAGGAGATAAAAATTGACCAAGTTGTGATATTTTGAAGTCAAGCCAAAGATTTCAATGGTTTTCTCAAAGGACTTGTAATCTTTTCATTTTTTTTATGATTCTCCAAGCACAATTGGATCTTGTCATGTGAAGAGAAGTTGTTGTAAATGATGAGAAAAGTCCATAGCAAAAACAACCACTTCAAAATATTGAAAATTGATAAAAATATGCACTTGTGACCATAGAATCAAAGACTCGTCTAAATTAGGTCAAACCACTTGAATCAACTTTGAATCTTTTGAACTTTTCTTGCAAATTAAGGCATGATGAATCACATTAGACCTTGAAATAATGTTATATTGAAGCACACTTGATGAGAAGGTTCATTTCTTGATGAAACTTGTTGAAGAAGGCATGAAAATAAACACATAAACCTATGAAATTTCTTGATGAATTCAGCCATTAACTTTGAGACAATCTTGACCAAATAAAGTTGAGAGAGTCTTCCAATCATAGAACTTTGATGCCATAATCATATCCTTGAGGCTCAAGCTTTTAAAACCCATTGATTTGTCAATTAACTGAGAATCAAATATTTAAAACCCTAATTTAGGAGGTGAGAGAGATGCTTCCTTGCTCACTATCACCGCATCCACGGGTTTAAACGTGACTCTTTCTATACTCATGATTGGCCATTTGCTTGCCAGTTTATCCTTAACAGAGGGAATGATCATATCTTGACGTGTGTATATTGACCGGACTCAACATGACGACATAAAATAGAGGTTATACAGTACTCATTAGGACAAAGTTTCATTCGACTTCATTTCCTTATACTTTAGATGGTTGGCATGTGGGACCGACATCATGTGCAGGTATCTGCCCAAGCGGTGCATACGGCAGTTTGGGTACGTGCAGATCATTTTAAGGTCCCTCTTTCAGGATGCTCCTATCCGTATTGTTCGCAGAGACCTGGAGGACATTCTGATAGATTTTGAGAGTCGTCTAATACTGTGTTGGTGGTTATATGACATGGTTCTATAATGTGTCACACTCTTACATGATATTGGACGCTACTGGACATTCACTTAGGCCTGCTCAATGGAGATCCTGGAGATTGAGCAGGTCAGGGATGATTATGTTGTTGTCATCTTGTTGATCTGTCAGACCATTATGCGGTTGACAGGAGAGGACATCGATTCTAGACTATTCCGGAAAGAGAGCGATGAAGCGGTCGAGCTAGCACGTTTCATTCTTGTCGAAGCACGAAGTGTCTTGGATTACCGTCAGCAAAAGAGGAGTCAGGGGATTAGGTTTAAGTAACACATTACTCAGTTCTACAATATTTGTTTTTATTAATCGTTGAAACAAATAACGGCAATGCTACTCGAATTAAAATTAGTTTGGATTAAAAATACCACAATGTTATTAAACTGGTTCTGGAAAAAAGACACAGGCAATAATTCAGAGATGCATATCCGAATTCACTCCAAAATAATTCTAATATATATCTCCGAAGTTATTTCTCATTGAAATTTGGTGGCTATTTGATTTTATAAGAAGGTATGATGACTTCAAAGGTACAACTCTGATTATCCTAGGAGTGTATTCGAAGATGCGTCTCAAAATTAAGTTTTACCAAAAAAAAATAGTATTTTGTACGTTTGGAGATGCATCTCCGAATTCACCCTAAGACATTTTCAAATTTTGAGATGTGCGTGGTGAGAAATTGCCTATATATGATGTAGCATGAGATGTGAAAGGTGTATGGACTCATAGTTCACTATAGGCAAGTTCAAATGATGTAGTATTAGACAATCGAAGTGAGATGGTAAGGTGAGATTTACCTGGACAAGACTAATTTGTTAGTAAGTAGTAAAATATAAAATACTAAATTGACAATAAGCTGATAAATTAGAGATCTACTTGATAGTAAATTGGTAAATATAAGAAACTTGATAGTAAAATATTCATAATCTTACAAGCCTTAACTAAATTGATTTGACCATTTACTTAATCTTAAATTAATATTCATAATCACAATCTTAGATAAGAATTAATCTCGGAATAATGTGATTCAATTAGTTGTTGCGATAGTGTTTCAAGAAATACATGGATGGCAAAAACAACTGATTAGACTTAGATGAGTGTTGAAAAATCAGTAGGATATAGATGTTTTAAATTACAACATATATATGTACAAAGTAACCCCTACTTATATTATTATATATACAAGAACTGATTTCATTCCTTAGTTTCAGATTCTCATACAAACCCTGCTCTTCTTAAGGGCACTTCCATTTACAATATGAATTTTGAACAGTGTTACTTTGATCCTGAACTTCAGACACTTTTAATTACTTGTGTATTACTCAGTCTTTCTGTGCATTTTCTTCTTGCTCGACTTGATCTTTCTGTTTCGTCTCGGTACTTTCAGAGTTGTCAATTGATTCAATTCCATCTCCTACAGCAGCCTGCATTCTAGCTGTGCTTCCATCTATATCTTTCTCATATAAGCCTTCCTCTTCTTCAACTGATGCTTAGCTTTCAGGAATATCTGTAGATGCCTCAATTTGATGACCAATCCTCAGCTTCTAAAGGCTTTGATTCCTGCAATGTTAATAGATTTTATTTAATTAGTCTCAGAAAAATTGAAAGGATACTACAAGTGTGCTAATATTTTCCCAATGCCATAAAGTACCTCATTACCATCCATTTGATTATCTTCTGGTTTTGTAGCAGCAAGTGGGTTGCGGAGGATTTCCCTTTCGGATGATTCATCAACTTTATCTTCCTCCATCTCTGACGAAGGTAATTCCATGGTTTCAGAACACACTGATTTTTCTTGTGGTAAAGGATTTACAACGGAATCCTGCACATATGAAGTCAGTATAAAATTGGGGAGAATTACCGAGTCAGAAGTGTGAAAACGTGCAACGTGACATACCTTGGTGCCATCCCTAGGACTACCCTCTGGAATCAAAGGATCTCGTCGTTCGTCTTGAACATCAACATTATCTTCCTTCCCCAGCGAGCAAGAAGGAAGCAGATCCATGTTTTCAGAAGTAAGCCTTTCTGGATTATCCCCGGGTTCAGAAACCTGAGTAGCAATTATTCGACCGAGGGTCACTGGGCAATCTTCAGTCATTTTATTGATTTTCAAGTCTAGGTTATCTGGCATAAGATGACTAGATTGAAACCTATCAGGACAATTACTCTGATCGGTATTAGATCCTTCCTTGTCATTCTGGGATGCAGACATCGCAATTAATTTAGACGAACTCTTCAATGTATCATCTCCAACCTCAAATATACAATTATCACCCCGCTCAATCTTAGAATCTTTCAATTCATCCGGTGAAGATGAACTGGTATATATGCCCCTTGTGGATGAATCCATTTGATCATCACTTTCCACTTTATCAACTTTTGCTTCCTCCTGGATTTCAGAGCAGTTAGCCACGGCTTTCTCCATTGACACCTCAAGAGGGACTGAGACCTTACTTTTCCCTTTTACCAAGGTTGATGGGGGCAGAACTTCAGTTACAGAGGTAGTTCCTCCCCCTAGACTATCAATCCCAGAAGTCTCACGCGGATCAAGAGGTTCTAATGTATCTGGATGCTTCTGAGCCTGAACAGCTTTGGGGCTTACAGGACCTTCCTTTTCAGAAGCTGACTCTGAATGCTGTTTCATGGAGAGTTCTAATGCTTTTGAAGATGGTTCAGAAGGTGATGCAGGACCCAAGCTCAAATTCAGAAGCACGGTATCATTTCTATCAGAATGCTCCAATTTTTTATTTGAAGTGTTCTCTGTAATATCAAGAGCTTTGTTTGCGGATGAATCACTCTGAATGCAGATATCAGCCTGACTAGACTCGGGATTATTACTACAAATTTCAGGTGCCAATGAAATAGTTGGGCGTCCTTGGCCATCAATATCAACGGGAGAAGACCTTGAACACTTCTCTATAGAGTCAGATTGGCTTTCAAGATTATGATCATTCACTAAAGGACGTTCAACATTAGGAGAAACCACAGGTGAACCTATGTGGGGGGCCGTCTCTATACTCAACTCAGTAGAGCCACAACCAGTAGGAGGTTTCTCAGAAGAGCCATCAACCTTTAGGTCATTATTAAGAGGAGTTATATCAAAAGCCTCCATTTCACTCTTCTGATCAGCCTTACTGACAATCGGCAAAGCCGCATTCTCAAGAATTATTTTTTCATCAGATGCAATGCCAGGTTGTTGTTTGTTCCCACTCCCTGGCATGGTTGGGGTCAGGCTCAGTGCTCCAGTAGCTGGCGATTCTAAACTTGGGTTTTCTTCCGGATTCGGCATATCAGATGCCACTTCTGATTGTTTTTCATGAAGGTGTACTGATACACTACCAGTATGACAGGCTGCCCCAGCAGTTTCAGTAGCAGAGCATGCTTTATCCTCCACACTCTGGCTACCAGAGGCATCCACGGCAGCTTTAGGCTTTGGCAAACAAGTTCCAGAGAAAACTTCTTTCATTACCCTTGCAACATCATTGACGTTATGTATTCGGCCTAAAGCGGCAATCTTATCTGAGGATACAGGTGCACTATCGATCCTTGTTGATGCAACTTTCTGTTGCTTATTTTGGGCAGGATTGGTGGTTCTCTCTTTTCTCTTGGAATCATTAGCTACTCCACCGGGCAAATAGATCTCAAATGCCTGAGCTTGAGTAACATTTGAAGTGGCTATACCCACCAATGAATTCACTGGTGAAATCTGAGCATGATGACTTAATTTTGGATCTTGGTCAATAAGAGCATCAGGAGCAACGGGTAAAACTGGAGTTGTTCTTTTTCCCCGGCGCCGTGGTGGCTCCAGTCTGTTTTGAGTTTTACGACCTTGCCTTTTGACCGGCACAGATTCATATGAGCTTGGATTGGGTTCAGAGCCTGGTGTTGAAGGAAAAGTAGTGCTAAACGTACTGGGAACAATCTTTGCGGCCACAGGATCTACAGATTGACTAATGCTTTCTGTAGTTGCACTACCGGTCGAGGAAATGGTTGGAGTGTCGGCAACCAAAGGGGAAGTTATTGAACCTACAACTGTTTGATGAGCTTTATTATCTGAATATTGATCTTTTATAACCTCGGCAATAGGCAATGATGTGACCAATAAATTTTCATTCCCTGAATTAGTGCAAACTTCAACTTGAGAAGGGTTAATTTCAGAAGATTTAATCTTCACAGAAGAATCGTGAACATCAGCATTCTTAACCTTCTCTAAATCTTGCCCTGCGAAAGAACTCCTTAGTTTACCTAAGGCATTTATAAAAATAAATGTGATGTTAAAATCATATAACAGAAATGCACAATATACCTGGAGAATTGACTGTACTATCTTTACATGAAGGAGGGATCTCTGCCTGCTTGGCTAAACCATCTGATCCTTCCAAAGATTTTAAATCCCGGTTACTCTGTGATGCTTGATCTTGGATTATAGATTTTGATTCTTGAACATTGTTCTCCTGCAGGTTTTTTAATTCACTGGCTTTATCGCCTGATACAACGCCAGATGAAGTCAGTAAATTAGAAGTTGGATCCCTGCCCAGAAGACCCAAAACAACTGGAACAGGAGATGACATTGTTGCCTGTTTCTTTCCCCTGCGCCGAGAAGTTCCCGCTCCAATTTGTGACTTTCCAATTGGCCCTTTACTTTGCATTTGTACAGATGGATAATTGGGAGCTGTTTGAGCCAGAGTAGTAACGGAGGGCAAAGGAAGTGGTAGCTGTGAATTCAAAACAACCCCAGCACCCAAATTATTGTTTCCACTGTTTGAAGAAGCAGAACCTGAAATGGTAGTTGGAGGGAGTACAGCAGCAACGCTAGGAACAGTTTCACTCTGGGGAATACCCTGACCTGAAGGACTCGCTAATTTATCTTCTAATTGCTCGTTGACCTTGGCATCAGGACCAACAGAACCATCAGGCACAGGAGGTGACATCACAACCTGCTTCTTCCCTCTACGTCTAGGCAATTCACGACCACTCTGAGTTTTCTGCCCATGTCCTTTTGCTTGAATAGGTACAGAGACAGAAGTAGCAGCTGACTGAGAAGGCAAAGGAATGGCAGGCAGTGTGTTAGCAGCCACTTCTGTATTAGACTGGTGAATAGGTTCAATATTAGTGGGCGGCGGAGTTGCAGTCGACAGAGAATTGGGTGGAATAGTAGGCAGAGGAGTCGCAGGAGGTGCGTTAGCAGTCACTCCTGTGGTAGACTGCTGCATAAGTCTACCCACACCTGTAACTTCAGCAGAATGACTAACAGAATCAGGAGCAGATGATGTTAAATGTCCAGACTTATTTCCCTTCTGTAACTGCATATCTACTTCAACAATTCCAGAAGTTACTGGAGAGATTAATGCAGCTGGTGACTTAACTGGAGCAGTTCTTTTTGGCCGTCCACGGCCACGTTTTGCTGGTGGTGCTATCTCTTTAACATGCTGTACCGGCAAAGTCTCAACAGATGGCAATTTCGGGGCCAGTGGAGGCAAAGCAGCAGGTTGTGCGACAGTAGCGGCAGGTTGTACAACAGTAGCAGCAGGCTGTGGGATAGTAGCAGCAGGCTGTGGGACAGTAGCAGATACAACAGAACTGGAAGCATTGGGTTGATGGCTCATCTCTTCCTCTTTTATTTTGGGTGAATCTGATGTTTCTGCCTGACACATCTTCTCAAATTCCTCCTCTGTCCATTGCTCTTCATAGGAACGTACCTATAAAATGTATATAAGATGGTGGATGGGGATTAGTGACTTTTTGGAGGGAAAGACATGGTAACTTTAGTACATTTAAGGTGTTTTATGTGAAAAATAGATAAAAGAAAAACAATAATTACAAACCCGAAAAAAAATTACATAGTATACCTAACACACAACACGAGTGTTTTCAATTACTTCTCTATTCCAATAAAATTACGGGGAGGTGGAGGTGAAGTTATACATATCACTATTATGCAAGACTACTACCCGTAGGGAATCTCAGATGATATGTAGGTATAATGATGACACATAGCATAACATGCAAAGAGCAAAATGCAGACAAGAAATACAACTGTCAGAACAATCCAACTGACTAAAATAAAAAAGACAACCTCTCTTGCACGTTTTCCCCTGCCATAGTGTTGAGTATCAAGGCCCCCAAGACCTCCTCTCTTTCGTTTTACTCCATTAGAATCTACCTCACCCTTAGGCACGTCATCATATATCTTCATTGCTTCATTGAACTGTTTCAAGTCTTCTTCAGTGACAAGTCGAGAAGGAAGGGGAGGAATAACATCGGAGCCATCAGTTGCATGTTCAAGCACCAATTTCTTCCATGTAACCTGGAACGTATTTTTTGGGAGCTCCAGTAAGATTCTTCTAACAGAAACAGAAGGTAAAATGCTATATTTATGTGAATGAGAAAAGCCTGTGCAAATAATAAACAGCGTACCAGCTCATGTTCCTTCCTGTTTCTGTCAACAGACTCAAACACGTCTAGCTCTGCTTCACTGCCAACAGAGAAAAGATTTTAGTCACGGTTCTTTTTTCTTCCTTCTATTTTTGACATAAAATTTGGGTGGGTTGGATATTGAATCTAGAAATTATAATATATTTGCCACAACAGATTGACATAACAAATTGAAGCTATGAATACAGTTACATTACAGCAGTAACACACCAACAGTTGTGATGCCAGAAGATCAACCCACAACCAATACAATAGACCACGTAGTTAAAGTGATAACATGCTTATATAAATACATCAGGAAAGAGTGGCATGCTTAAATGACAATTATACATCAAGAATCCTTCCCTATAATTAAAATGAAGGTAGGTAAGAGTCACATGCATATCTTATCACAATTACTATCAATTCCTAATATACCTACTAATTTGTCATTGTCAAAAATTGGCATAAGTTCAAATATCAATGGAAGTAGAGAAAGGAAATCTAGAAAATAACTAGACATATTAAGCCACAGATAGAAGCAAAGGTAAAAGCATAAAAAAGTCGGGCACCTGCGGGCTAAGACATCATTTAGAGCATCATCATCCAAAACAGGGGCATCTTCTTCTTTTTTACATTCACGCAGAAGGGATTCCAAGTATTCCCTTCGATCTTCAGCACTGCAATAAATATAGACAAAAGAAAATTTAGAGCTGATTTTAAATCTTTGTAATAAGTTAAAGCTGAAATACATCACCACGTTACCAACCTTGTATTATTGTCAAAAAATCCAGCAGTAATGCTCTGGTTAGCAACACCAAGTTTGTGCTCAGCTGAAGCTCTAACTTGTTCTTCAACAGTTTGTACCTTGTTACATTGTAAGCAGAAGAAACTTTAGCATGTGTGATAATATGACACTACATTTACATTAATGATAAAGATGACAGGATTGGGATGAATATAATCGTTCCAAATGAATTTGAGAACCACGAATCTGTGACCTCTCTTCACTTCACTTCCTTGTACAAAAAACATCAACCAGCTACTCCTAATACAGTTACAGGCCTACTGACTTCTACTAGCAAAATAACTCTTCCAGTTACATTACATTCAGTTAGTTGTTTCTTCTGTTCCTTCTAACATATACCCTCTTAACTATTGGCTTGCTAAACGTACTGGAAAATACATTTTGCAAGCAACGCCACATGTCCCATTCGTCTCAAATCCCCCAAAATAAGGGGATAAAATATCAATATGCAGACCACAAAATGAATGAATGAAATCATAATGAATAAAATATTTGTAAAGCACTTAATGGCGGAGAAGTAGAAATGTATAAAACAGTATAAATGCACTACATGTCGACAATGACATTGAAACAATTCCGCTAACAAAAGACAAGTCCCAATTTAAGTATTTAATTATTATTAAATAGTTTCATATAAGACTTGAATTTTTGAATTTTATGTGTTCTAAGACAGTATCAAGCACATATGCAACAATGATCAACAACAGGTATTTAGGTTATATTCAACAAGAGACGTGACTTGAAATTTTTTAATTAATTCTTAATTCTCACTATGGAGTAAGAAGTATAGATATCTCAAATATGGGGAATTGTTTCAAAACAATTGTTTATAATACCTGAAATCAGATTTCCAAAATACACATAATGTTGAAAATCCCACATTGACTAGACATAGCCCAAGTAGTGCTTACAAGTCATGGGCATTCCTCACCTTATAAGCTGATCTTGTGGGGTTGAGTTAGGCCCAAGCCCAAATTCTTAATACTTAATTTAAACTTAGACTCTAACAATAATCATCAAGAAAGTATTTGTGCGGCTGTGGTGTAGCATAATTTATGCAAATCTACCAATTCCAACTATAACAAACAGTAACTCAGAACAAATAGTACTAACTGTTTCAAAGCGGAGAACAAGAACCTCCCTCTTTTGACCAATTCTATGAGCTCTTGCCTGGGCTTGCAGATCAACCTGAAAAATACCAACAACGACATAATAACACTAATAATAAGCAATAAAAGGAAACAAAACATAAAGAAAATCATTTTTGAAAAATTCATTACCTGGGGATTCCAATCAGTGTCAAATAAAATCACTGTGTCAGCAGCTTGAAGATTCACTCCAACACCACCGGCTCGAATGCTAATAACAACAGATGAATGTCAGCGATGTGAAAAATAGGTAATCTAAAAAACAAGATGAAATATGCCTGTTTGTTATGTCCTTAAGATTATATATTAAAATCATGAAACAAAATATGAGGAAATATCAATGTTTTAACACCAACACCCCCCATCCCAAAAATTACTAGGAAGCAGGAGATAGTTCCAACATAATCCTATGCATGAGGTTTCAATCAGTGTGAAACTTATTGATTTGAATCCAATCAATTCCATTATTAAATATGAGAAGTTACTAATTTTGCCTATATTTCATTTCAAAAAATATTAGTTATTTTTTCTTATATTTCATTTCAGAGTATTAGGTACCAGTATCACTTATACTCATCAGCCCTAGGAACCTGAGAATTGAGAAGCACGTGGTTTTCATTTTCTTCAGGTGCATCTCAATAATTTCCAGATTTCTGATTTAGAAATATAGTGCCTACTTGGTTCTCGAAGTTTTCTTATATTCTTTACATCTGATGCATTTCATAAATTCTGTCGGATACATTTTAAATCAAAATCCTTTAGTCATAAATCATTTAAATATAAAAGTTTCAGTTTGGCAAGAGTCCCCATATTACCTCCCCTCTTAGCAATGCAATAAAAATCTTGAGTTCATCAATGTTTAGTTGATCTTATATCAGAAAAATGTTTATTCTGTCGGTTGATGTGCAAAAAACAAGATGAAGATAGGTTAATCCTAAAATAAGTACAAGGTTAAGTGAATCAACAAAAAACTACTTTCCATTGTGTAATTCCAGTTACAGCATATGGATTAAGGCTTGAATGTTTCAATTGACTATAAACACTGTCAAATTTCTTAGAAATAAAACCCCCAAAAAGTTAATTTTCCATCCCCAATTTAATATTTCAATTGACTATTTCACAGCCACACCTAGTACTTTAATAGTAATTAAAGTTACCTGAGTAAGAAGATAAAATATGGGGAGTCAGGTTTGTTAAATAGGTCAATTAGAGCACCACGATCACCTCCTGATGTATGCCCGTCCAACCGGAGGTATCTATACTGTTTAGAAGTCAAGTATTCTTCCATAACATCCAGAAGCCTAGTCATCGTCGAAAAGAAAAGAACCTGTAAAAGCATTAGCAGTATAATGTGAAACATTAAGAATTAAATTTTCAAAAGATTCACTGGAAAATAAGAATCGGTTTAATTTCATAGACTGCCATACACATTCCGCATCCAAAGGAAAGAGACTAGAATAAGTTTACAAAATATCTTTCATCAGTTATAACAACACATGTCAATACCGATGTGAAAGAAGTAAGATGTAGTAATCCAGCAACAAACATATAGAGTTTTGCATACCCGGTGATCTGTAGCCTTCAATTTAGGTAATAACCGGTCCAACATCTCAAGCTTCCCACAAAGTCTAATAATTGGTGGCAGATAATGCTTGGGTATATAGTTATCTACCTGTAAATGGAAGAAAAAAAATGTCATATTGTACATACATTGTAGCATACCCTGACTCCTCCGTTCTTGTTGTCAGGTTTTGCACATTTATAATGATCTTGAAGATGATGTCTCAATTTAAATACCAGAACAAAGTGTTTTTCAAACTCTTAAATTCACAGAAAGAACAGAAGCATTATCCAATCAAATTCACAAAATGATCTTGAAGATGCTGTCTCTGAGTAGGTTGCACTCAAAAACATAAGCCAATCATCAATAAATACAGTAGTGTCAGAGAAGAACAATATGTAGGATATGAACATACCTCCTCTGTGTGAAGCTGGCTGAGATATGGATGATTGCATATATTTCGAAGCTCCATGACAGAGTTGTGTACTGACCGAGCCTGACAATTGGGAATGTAAATTAGACAACTAAAGTAGTTACATGTGCGCGGAAAGCTAATTTAATTAAAAAGAAGAAAAAAAAGGGAAATAAATTCTTAGTCCACTATCAAATGGTCATTACATCTTTTAACAAAAAAGCAAAAAGTACTATAAAGGACACCTTTAAAGTGCCAATAGCACCAAGATTATCTTCCACTCTCTTCATTAAAAGCTTTTGATATGAAGAAGCCTCGCATCTAATAAGTCTCTCAATCTTCGAAGGAAGCTGATTCTCAACCTAAAAGAAAACATTGGAAACACAAGAACAGTAACATGTGATGACTTCAAAAGCTAATATCAGCAAGGCAGACAAGCTATCATATTTCCGAGTCATCCTAAGTGATGAAGAGTAAAAATGGTGATCACAGTGGGATAACACATATCGGAAACAATTGCATCAGAAGGCTTAAATATGGAGAATACATTTTCCACATATATAAAACCATTCAAACTTACAGATACCATGCATTAAATTCTATATTACAACAGAAATGGAACAAAACTAAAATAACTTCAAAAAAATATGTTTGAAATTGTTTGTTGTCTGACTGAGCATTTAAAAAGGTTCGAGCAGCACAGGGTACTGAATGCTAAAGATTTTTCAAGTACTACTAGAATGAACAGCCGATCAAAAGAATCAAAACAAGAAAAGAACAAGCTGTGGTCATAGCCTAGTTTACGGAAAAATCAAGGAGAAGTGGAAATTAAGTTTGAAGTTAAGTATTAATTACCTTGTGTTTAAGCCTCCGAAGTACAAATGGTCTCAAAACTTGGTGCAGACGATTTATGATCAAGAGATTCTCCTCCTCAGACAGTAAAGCCTAGTTACAAACAGAAAATACAAAATAAGCATACAAAAACAAGGAAGCATAAATTAGAACAAAAACTCTTGGCAAGTTCTATATTGACGGGATTGGTCCACAACTTACTTCATCGGGTGAGTTATCTCCAGTACTCTCAAATGGCTTATTAAACCATTGAGAGAAGTCCTCTGATGAATTGAATATGTTAGGCAACAAGAAGTTAAGTAGTGCCCATAGTTCTTCAAGATTGTTCTGCACATAAAGAAACCAGCAGTTTCAGACTATAAATGTTACATAAAAAGGATAAAAGTGAAACAGGGGGCATTATATGAGCCTGGAAGAAGGGCTGAGCAGAAACTGTCATTCCCAAGATAGAGCACAGCATATGTTTGAAGAAGATTATAGAAAAAATTCAAATGGTAAGAACAGAAATGCTAAGAAGAAAAAAGAAAAACCTGCAATGAGAGCCACAAGAAAAGAAAACAAAAGAAGAAAAAAAGAAAAACCTGCAATGGTGTTCCAGTTAACAACAATCTGTGAGAGCTCCGGTAGTGTTTCAAGTCGGCATTCAACTTGCAAGAGGCGTTCTTTATGCGGTGGCCTTCATCAATTATTATATAGTGCCAATGTACTTTGCTTAGCTTTGGCCTATCATGCTTGTTCATCAGATATTCATATGTTGTCAAAAGAACATTGAATTTCTGGTGAATAATCCTTTCCCTAAAATATGAAAGAATTAATAAAGAACGTACACAAGAATAAGTATTGAACAGATGAAGGGGGTCAATATCGTAAAATTCAATTACTTGAATAACCGACGTCTCTCGTCTGGCGATCCAGCATAGACAATTTGGTGAATACTAGGAGCCCAAAAGTTTATCTCTGACTCCCAACCAGGTAGAACTGAAGAGGGTACAACAACAAGGAATGGTCCTCTATCATTTTTGGTTTCCATCAGGTAGCAAATTAGAGAAATCACCTAAAAAATAAAAGGACAGTAAGATTTAATCTATACAAGTCACAAATGTTCCTCCGATCTTTCTAGGACAGAATATGCACCATGATATTTTAGCATATAAACATGCGCGGTAACATAATCATAGAACTCCAAAAAAACACCAACAAATCATCCAAAAGGGATCTATCGTAAATGACATACTGACAAATGCTAATAATGGAAAAAGGAACAAATAGGAACCCAGTTAAGTATATATATAAAGCTTTTTCGTTAACAAAATTGATTACCTGAACTGTTTTACCCAGGCCCATTTCATCGGCAAGGATTCCATTCAAATGATTGTTATATAGTGAAACCAACCACCTCAGACCATTCATTTGATATCTGAAGACAAAATTTGAAATCATGAGGAATGTAAGCCCAGACTCTTTGCTCATGAAACTGGATTATCTGAGAAAACTAGCAACCCCCTCCGCGTGACGGAGACGACGCTAAGTTATTACAGTAATCCGACAATTCAACTAGCAACAAAATAAAAACTTGGATCTCCAATGAAAACATAAATACGCATTGTGTAAATTATATGAAATAAAAAAGACAGTTTTTACATACTCCCTTAATTTTCCACCATGCAGAATAGCTGGCTGCTCTGCTATGCTCTCCTTTACACTGCAGGGAGAAAAAAATTGCTTGGCATGAATCAGGTCATCAAAACCAATCAACATAGTATTAGCATGCAATTCAAAAATATATTTCCGGATTGATGGACCAATAGACCGTGAACAGTTGACCACTTAAATTTTTGAAACTAAAAATAAACCACCAAAACTCCTCAGTCTCCTGTGCTTTTCATCTTTTAATAATAAAAATTCAAGATAACCATCTTACACTACCAAGAAACCTTTTAAAGAGTACATAAGAGCGGAACTGTTACCTGTGGGCCATCTTATAATACTTCTCATTACTTTCCATATAATGCTGTAAAACAGAATTTGAAAAAATCACCGACATATTTAAGAAATAAGACTTTTAACTTAATAACGGGATGTGTCTAGCGGACTTGCCTTTGCCTGATCACTTTCATCCTCGTCAACCAAAGTAGTTTCACTATTCTCAAGAAAATTGGTACTTCCTGCCTCATCAACATCTAGCCCTAACCGTCCTGCAGTATTCTTTGCTTCCTGTAGCTTCGACCCAAGCTTTTGAAGGTACTTTTCAGTTGCTTTAAGAAGTTGCTTCACACGATCTGATTTTGCATCCTGATGTAGCAATGAAAATGTTATTCAGAGTTGTTAAGAATGCAAACTTCAATGCATATCTTGTATTTTTACTAACAGGGACAGGTGCACATACTTTATAACGGCGGCTGCTGCCCCCAATTACATAACTTTGTTTAGCAATGTAAAAAGTAAATTACTTGATCACATATCTAAATATAGGTATTCGTAGAAGCATTGAAAAATGACTATCCATACAATAATGTTAAAATATATATTTGCACCCACAAGTAATATTTATGGATCAGTCCCTGTCTACTAATATCATAAGAAAATAAACCTACCTGCACCATTCGAAGATAACCTTCGACGTCGTTTATTTTTAGCAAATTAATCTTCTCCCGCTGAATTCGATCAATTCTCTCACGATGAATACGTTCTTTTTTTTTATGGAACTCCTTTACATATTTATTGAAACCCTTTGACCGTTCTTTCTTGATTTTGAATGCATCATCAAGTTTTTCCCTACATTTCAAGAAATAAATTGATAATGCAAGTATTTGAGGCAAAGAGTACAGATAATAGTGAGTTATATTATCCAATTACAATGATTTGGAAAAATTGAAGAGGTGAAAGAAGCGTGTAGAAAAAAGTAGAAAAGGCACATACTTGTGAACTTCTATCTCACTGAAAAACTCCTTCTGTCTCTCACGAATCCGTTTCTGTCGCTCTTCCTTCATTTTCTGCTCATACTTTTCAAGTTGTTTGACTCTCCTACCATGCCTATGTTTCTTAATTGATTTCAAATGTTCCATCTCATTTGTAATTGGTTTGGAAAAATCGTTCAGAAAATCACTGCCCGCAAAGGAAAAAATATAATGTCAAACTGTGAGTTGAAGAAAATATCAAACACATGAGAATACAAATTACCTCCGAAGTCGGCGTTGGAGCTCTAATAGTTGAAGTTTTTTCAACTCTATGACACTTTTTGTTTTAGCAGAAATATCTTCACATGAGCTCACATTTTCCTATATCACAAGGAATGGACCGCATACCATAATGTTTATGCAACATTCAAATTATTGCCAACCATATAATGTGTGTAGGTTAGGGGCACAAAATAAATTGAATGTGCAAGTAGAACATATAAATCACTGAATTAGAAAAACTAAAAGTTAAAATTAAAACAAACCTTTAACTTGTGATAGCATTTAGTCATTCTTTCCTTTGCTTTCTGCTGTTTCTGCACCCAATTTTGGCCAACTAGAAGCCTCTTTTTCTGTCGATCCATAATCCATCTCTCTGACATTGTAAGTCTTTTAGAAGATGGAAAATCAGCTGATACTAACCTCTCATTCCCTCCTTGCTCTGTAGCATAAGAGATGTCATGTTTAGATGCATAATCAACTGGAACAGTTTCGATTTGTGATAGAAAACTAGTACCAAAATACAAATTAATTGTAGAAACTGACTTTTATTTAAGACAGAATATAACAGACACGTAATTACAAACACTGCAGAGAATACATGATTCACACATAAACTAATCCAAGAAATTCAAGAGTTTTGGTCTCTCCCTCCAAGAATTCAAGAGCTTGGCATCTCCCTCCCAAAACCGTTCCAAAACTATTCCAGAATCAGTTTCTCCTTTCCTTTCTCTATTTATTTTTAAACAGAAACACATGTAACCCATAACTGCCATAATAAGAAGTCTAACAAATTGCTGTTAATATTCAGAAATTCATCAATCATTAACACTTGCAGTGACGCAAAAAAAAAAAATAAGCATCAACAAACTGATTGCAATAACATGACATAAATGATCTTCTTCAACAAACAAAAAACATGACATAATTGACTATGGCTTTCACCTGCAGAAACGGTTTTGCCCAATACATTTCCATCCTTCATCATGGTTACTCCATGGGAATTGCTATCAATCCCGGGAACAGGTTTCCAGTGCTCTTTTGAAGAATAAGAAGTCAATTGATTAATAGAATTGTGATTCCATGAACCAGAATTGTTACTAACATTCTGAAACTGACTAGGAATGTTTTCTCTTCTTTCTATAGGCAACTCATGTTGAATAGGAGAGACATGTGGGTTTGAACCAGTCCAGTTATTTGGGCCTAGAACAGAATGTTGGTTAGCCCTTCCAGCTGTCAGGATACCATTGTCACTATCATTCAAATGACTGTTACCAACTACAATACCCCTTGTACTTGAAGAATCTTTCTGCTGGTATGGAGTGGCTGGAGAAGATTGTGCAGCCATTCTTTCTTGGTTTCGTCTTTCAACATCTCTTTTTGCGGCTAGATGTTTCCTGTCTTCTGAAGGTGTCTGGGTGTCAGAATGAAGGTTACCTTTATCTTCTAACAATCTTGGGCTCTCAGTTCCCTTCGACAAAGATTCAGCCTCTAGAAATTTTCCAGCAGATGAGGACCCTGACGGGTTTTTATCAGTCTGTCTCAGATTGCTTGAACTTCCAAATGGCACTATGACCCCTGGTGTGTTACCAGGTTCATTAAAAGACTGTGATTTACCTTTGGGTTCATTCAGATCTTTATTAGAACCATCTGTATTAACATCACATTGCATATACCAGTTAGCCAGTGAAGATCTTTGATATGTTATGTAAAACATAAAAATCAGTCACCTTCTCTAGAAAAGAAGGTTCCAAATGCAACGTCAAGATGTAGTTTCTTTGGCGGTAAACCATTTCTGCACATAAAACAATAATGTTTCACAACATAGCTCAAAATAAAATTTTATCCATTTTTTCAAATAAAAAAGGAGATTGCAGAATTATATCTACCTAAATGCTAGAAAAACAAGGCACTGAGCTCGAAGCTGTTTCAACTGGTTTTCTTTGAAAGGCATAGCAGATGATGCAGCTGCTGCAGGAATTGGGGATTTTCCTGTATCTCTAGGGTGAACACCTTGTCTAAGCATAGACATTTCTAAGCCATTATTTTGCCTGCCAGTCTGCCAATAAAATTATCTGATCAAGCAATCATATACAAGCCATAGTTAAAAAGAACAACAGAAGTAAACAAATTTAAACTAAATTAAATGAGTTAAGCAAGATGAAAGAAAGTAGAGCTGCGAGACAGACCTAGAAGCAAATATTAACGAATACCAAGTACCTGAGATATTTTATGTCCATCAGATAAAGTAGTTGAACTCCCCCCATCACGATCAAGAGGGCCACCATATTGCATTGAACTTGAGATACCTGGTTCGTTCATTGCAGACACATTAGCAGGAACCGACATCCCTCCGTGAACCCTAGCATAAGCACCTGAAATTCAATACGCTTTTCTATGAATAATTACGAGCACAAAGTTCTAAATTACAGTTTTTTCAAGTAAAATTGATTCCATCATTCTCTCCATGATTTAACATAAGTAGAAACATTCAAATATGGAAAGAAAAGTTTCCCTTAGCATTCAAAATTAACTTATGAACAGCACTCAGGCATATGACATTCAAATACTTTAGAACAGCCATTACAGGTATAAGACCCAATGGTGAAATAACCTCCACTCAAATAAATTCTTCAATCAATTGATTATATTAATATATAAAATAAACTCTTCTAGAAAGTCTTCTCTCAAATTTCACCAATCAAATAGTTGGCATTGGCATTTAAGTATAAATATTATAGATTGTTTTCAGTTCTTAAATCCAGGAGGATGGTAGTTTGATCAAGTTGAATCATGAATAATACTTGAAAATTTTACCAAATTATTTACTAGAACACCAAAGGATGGAGGTGAGAACCCCTGCATTGGAATTTTTGCCATCATATTACCGGAAAGAACATTAGAGAAAACTAGGGAACCTGAGGTTTTTCAAAAGGTTATTCATCTTTATTTTGATTCATGCATCTCTAATCACATGTGTAAAAAGGTAAAGAATCACCTTGCTGCTTCCCTTGAGCAATATGTGCAGAGGAAACTTCCATGTCTTCTGGATACTTCGAATTTGGAGCCCGCCCCATTGGATTGCCAATCTTTGTCAAATCGGTTTGCTTTGCCAATAAAAGATGACCTTCTGGGTTTGCCCTAAGCATTGTTTTCATGTTACCAGAAAAAGTCGAAATATTTTCCATTTGACTACTATTTGGAGCCACATTGAAGTTTGACATTTCACCACTTTTAGCTTGAATACCATCTGATGGTTCGGCCTTGGTCATTTTTCCCTTCCTTGTATTAACACCAGTGTTGCGAGGTTCTACTAGAGAAGAACTGTCAACATGCATTTCCCCAGGTGATGTTGAATCTCCCCTCTTCCTTTTTGGGATAGCTTTCTTACCATCCTTTTGATTCACCTGTCTGTCTTGTGACTGTGAGTTAGCAGACCTAGAATCCAAACTAGTTGGACTTCCTTGATCAAAAGATTGATTACTCCTTTGAGCTACAGTTCCTTGATAATAATCAGGAGCTCCGCCAGTTGGGGCAATTGGTGGTCGACCAGTAGCAAAGGGTTCCATTTTGGGAGCCTCATTTTCAGCCAAGCCTGCTCTCGAATCATTTGCACCACCCACTACTTGTGAAGAAGATCCTGCATAAATCACACATGAAATTAAATTAACTGAAAAAATATCACAAATACTCTTTAAGAAATATTGAAACAAGCATAATAACCTATTTGAGGACCACCAGTCAAAGGAAGACGTGATGACTTTAATGACTCAATATCAAGACCATGTTGGTTGATGACAGTCTCCATGGCCCTATAACAGACAGGCACCATTAAGTAAGAAGAAACAGTGATATGCATGAAATTGAAAATTGGATCAAAGTAGTAATACAGACAAAATATGATTCAGTGCTAAGAATGATAAGTATGAGCTTCACTGCAATCACCAAGGCACTACAGAGAAAATTAAATCAACAAGATGCTTTGATAATTAAGTTTATGATTTATTTGCAACTCAAACAAACAAGTAAAGGTGTTCTCATCGAAGAAACCGAGAACTTCAAGTATATTACTCAGGCTGGACTACACAATGTGGCTAAACAAATTCAACCACTCTTCTGTTTTGAAAGAGGCTCAAAAGCCCAACAAACATCCATTGTTCTTTGTTCACCAACACCACAAAATGCAATTCAACAAACCTTTACCATGGTTATTTCATTTTCCATCACACCGGTAATCGACATCTTAACTTCTATGAAAGGATAATTTCATAAGCAAATGTGCGTCCTTAAACACAATCTGTATTAGATTCTCAATTTTACTATCTTAGAGCTCACCTACAAAAGAGCCCTAGTAAATAATTGAATTCCTATATAGAAACAAGCTTAAGTGCTAAGTTGCAGATATTTTACCTAGATATAACTTGATATGGCATTGAATTTTCTTTCCCGCTCGATTTCATATGTTGAAGTATCTGAAACATACACCAAATTAATTGAAAGTACGTATAATCTCGGACAACAGTTCAAAAAATAGTTTACGAAATTAATTAAAGATAAAACAACACACACCACATAGAGTTTAGTAGCGAGCTTGGCTGGCTCATCTTTAGAATCTTGAATAAGTTTATGCAGAAACTTGGCAGCCTCCATCTCAACATTCTGTGGAGTTGCCATCTCCTTTGAACTGCAAAAGCAAAGTATTGTAATGCAAACTCCAAATCAGCTGAAAATTTCAGGATAGTCTCAATTTGTAATGATCATATGACCCAATTCAACACAAATGCATAAACTTTGTATCTTCTTCCTAGTACCCTAATATATAGAATAACCCCATTTTTCCTCTCATAGTAAAAAACAAAACCCAAAAGGAAAAACCCTTCCTTTTTACAAACATCCTAAAATAACATCATGATTAATACTGTAAAACACGAAAAAACACGGAAAAACACCTAAAGACTTGGTGAATGTTGGAAAAATAGAATAAATCACTGATGAGAGGCTGAAATCGGCGGATCAAAAGAAGACCGAATATAAATTTGCAAGAAATAGAAAAGGGGGTCGAGTTTTGAGAGGTAAAATGGTGTGTGGACGTGACGTGGATTGAGAGGATTACCGGATCAGAGATGAAAGGTAGCGTCTTTACAGAGAGAGAAGTCTCAAAATCTGATTTTTAGCTCACGCTGTGAAGATGGAAACCAAACCAAACCTTTGTTTGGTTTTTCGGTGTGAATAAGAATAACAAACCCCCAAACACAGCCCAAAGTCTCGCACGAGTTCTTTTCGTGTGAACTTGTTATGTTTCTTAGGCTTTTATTTCGTCTTTCACAAAACCAATTTCTTTATTTTTTTTTTCAGAACACTTACTTTGCTTTCGCCTGAAAAATGAAAATAAAGAAAATGAAAAGGATAGCTATTTTTGGTTAATGTGAAAATAATAATAAATTTGATAAATATGAAATACGTACCGTTATGGAATTATAGTTATTGTTGAATTTTGATGAGTCGGATTTATGATGTGGTGATGTAAGTTTTTGATTAGGTTAAAGGTGGACGTGGAAGGTGAACACTCTAATGCTTAAGTTAATGAGTGAATAAAATGGGACATGGGATAGAGTGAATTGTGAATAGAATCATACATATATGTTTATCATGTTGTGGTATATATGCATGGGTGGTTGTTTAGCCTCCACCGTGCTCCCAAAAGGCTTGTTATGGTGTGATGCATGGAAAGTCTTTCAAGTAATTGAGTTGGATACTCTTGATTGAGATCTTGTGTTAATAAGTGGAAAAGATTTGAAGACAATTGTATTAAATGTTAGTCTCATTATTGAGATGTTTCGCAAATTTTCTTCATGTGTGACCCTAACTTCATAGGTTAGGGTGTCGTGTTTTCTTTTAGGAAGTTCAAGTGCACTTGAGTGTCATTACATTTTCAAGGTGTCATTTAGACCGTAGAGTTTTCATCTTCCACTTTCTTTCACTATGCAACATTGATTTGCTTCCTCATGTTTCATTATGTAAAGGTTGTCTTAGTCTTTTAAATAATTTGCATTCCCTATCATAACTGAACCTTACATTCATCTGTGAACTCTTTCTTCTTCTTCTCTTAAACTCTTATGGTTTTTTCGATTTTGCAATATCTCTCTCGTTTGGGGTTCATTGTCTCTAGTTCATTTTCATTATCAAGTTCATTTTGCTCTTAGTTATTCATTTTCTTCACTTCTCACGCAGGTGCCACTTTTAGTCTATTTTCCCTTACATTTGTTGTTTATTTTTCTAGTATTTAATATGACAAACATATAAAACATTTTCAAGAATATAATGAATGGACTTAATGGTGGCGATTTTCCAATTTCAGAGATATATGAGAATTCTGGTGCCCTAAATGTTGATACCTTATAAGTTAATGGTCTCAATCCCAACTTCATTGTGTTTGATGATAGCTCTAGATCTGAAAGGGGTTCATTGAAGAGTGGTGACAGACCCATCAGTGGGTTTACTGAGGGAAGTATTGACGACTCTTCTAAAGAAGATGGAGTGGGAAACTCTAACAATTTGGATTTTATGGGAGGTGGTTGCCCGTATTGTCTCATCTATCAAGTCTTATATGGATCCAAATGCAGCTATAACGGCTCGAGATTTGCGACAAGCACATTTTTTTATTAATAATTTTAGGGGGGCACATGATAGGGACTCTAGTGATATAGAATTTAGGGATCATCTTATTTTTAGGAGTAGCAATGCAGTTTGTGACTGGCATTACCTTTTCATGACAACTAAGAAGAAATGGTTAAACGAGGATGCACGGGCTTAGTGGAGTTGGAAAACACATATATGTATTGTCGGGTAGACCTTGAATTGGTGGGAACGGTTTCTTACTTTGATAGCACTGAGAAAGTGGAGGATGTTTGTAACACCCTATTTCCCCATTGGTAAATCAATAAAATCAGAGTAAATTAGTTCTTAAATCAAAACATTAAGGATAGGATACCATATTTTTCAACACATCAAAAATTTGCTCAAGTATAAATAATCAGATACATAACACACTTCCTGATGAACCGACGACACTTTTCAAGTTAGTTTTCAATTCAACTTTATTAACGCAACGAAAAGAAGTCAAATTTATCATTAAAACATCCTCAACCAGCATCAAGCAACATTTAATCTAATAAATGGGAGTTTATAATTGTTCTGGACTAGCCCAATGACTAGAATTGGCCTAACCCGCTTCCACCTTTGGCACAATCCAACAACAGTGGCCCAGAACTCTGGTCGACCACGCTCTTGAGCACACGACCAGTTATGCCCGACATGCACGTTTGACCCAGTCAGCAGGTGTCTTCCATCATCCCGACACAAGTCGGGCAGACACCCAGGAAACAACCAAAACGGTCATTTTCCCGTAATCCTCCTCCTCAGAACAAACGGCTACTTACGAGCATACATGCCCATTTTAACCCAGTCATGGCAGTTACCTATTTTTTCAGACCCGTGTATTTAGGCCCAAAAATAGGAACCAGTGGTTGCACGTCGGGAGACATTATATAAACCCTCACACATATGAGGACCAAGTATTCACAATCTCACACCTTAAACCCTCATATTCTGCTTCTATCTCTTGGCTCTTACAATTACTTGATCATCGGAGTGCCTTGTAGGTGCAACCCCCCCTTCTCATCGACTTTTCCATCCCATCAAAGATCATCCTTCGGCCAGCTTGCAGGTTCTGATCAACTGGTAAGATCAATAATACTCCAACATAATCACCAAAACAAAACAACGAAGTGACAAAGTAAATAAGCGTTCATCCCCCTCAGTGTTACGTATCAGAGCATTGACGCCAACTCAAAAACAATAAGAGCAACCTTCTATAGACTCCACGATTTTGGATTACTCCTGATTATCTGCACATTACCCACGTAGAGGCAACATTCAAACAGAAGGGGTGGATATCATAACAATATAAAAGAAAGCATAATAACGAGTATATAGTAATTCAAGTACACATAATTATTATTCTTTACCTCATACATATACTTCATTCACCGTACCATATGGTACATCAATATACAATCAAATACACAAACAACATATAACATATATCATGATATAATTCATACTTCTTCAACATCCAAAAACATCAAATTATTAATAATGTAATGCAATGGGACTGACACCAACTCAATGTATGTGGTACCATCAGAGCATAAGCTCTCTCCATAAATTGAAATTTAGGCTATCAACATATGGCCAATTTCAGGCCAACAACATAGGCCAAATCTGGGCTATCAACATACGGCCAAATCCGGGCCAACAACATAAGCCAAAATTGGACTGTCAATGATACATGTATGCGACACTGACATGCAATAACAAAACTATACAATTATAAGTAAATATCCTTCAATATAAAACCATTCTAGGCCTACATCATCATAATTATTAAGCAATATAATTTTTTTGTCCATTCATGCGCATTTGTAAAATTTATCATGTTCAATTATCACGAATACTCTACAATTTATCTAACACTGATGCCTAAGGCATAAGTCTCAAACTCAAAAATAATTCATCTACTGTTATCAAAATTATTATAATATTGTAGAAAATATTTTTAGTTTTACAACGGTCAAAACGGCGTGTCAAACGGGCACCCGAGTCAAAAGTTATTGAATTTTCAAATTTTCAAAAAAATGTCAGCTTCAGTGGTAACCGGTTACTACCAGGAGGGTAACAGGTTACACCCCAATAACTCAAAATAATGTGCTCCTGTCTAGTTGGGTAACCAATTACCCCCCAGCCAGTAACCAGTTACACCTTCATATTTGTACCTATTTCGTCCAAAATTGTACAGGGTAATCGATAACTCTCAGGACAGTAACTAATTCCACCTGATGCAGAACCAAAAATCTGCAAAATTTCAAAATACAAATTTCATTGTTTCAAAACTCAAACTTCCAAATTTTCAATCAAAATATTATCTTTTAATACTACCAATTATTCACAAACATTTTCCATCAATCCAACTCAATTTACATCATCAATTTCGCCAATTACACACAAAAATGCATCAAAAAAATCCATCAATAAGTAAAACCCCATAAAGCAAAATAGTGAGAAATCAAGAACACAAAATCATGGAACCTAATCACTACTATGCTCCATCATTTTCCAACTTGTTACAGAGTTAGAATCTCACTCTTACCTTAGATTTGTCGGTTCTTGACTCTTACAGTAAAACATTCTGCCCTAGCCTCTTTCTCTTCTTCTCTCTTCTACGAACATTATATGTTTTCTACGTTGTGTTTTTTTTCTTCTCTATTCTCAATTCTATTTTATTCCAACACTGGTCTTATGACCCCTAAATCATAATTCCAACTTTATCCTTCCTCAATTAAATAATTATTTAATTAATCCAAAACTAATAATAATTTTATTATTCTACTAATAATTTATTCAATTATTATACTATAGTATTAAATCTAATATTTTAATCTAGACAATTCTAATTAATTAGCTATCTCTCTACACTTTTGGTCATACACCCCTATTATCTTAACTCCAATAATTTTTAAGGCATCTAACTCTCAACAGATGCATCACAATACAACAAAAGATTAACTAAAGTGCACAATCACATAACACCACCTAATTAATTTAAATAAAATAAT